ATTTTAACATCATATGTGATGTCAATGTCTATTACCTTCCGGTCAACATGAATAATATAGGTTGCGTTTGATAACGTTTTTATTTTGTACTATTAAAAAAATAAAATAAAATAAAAATTTATTTCTCCTGTGATAAAAAATAAAAATATAAAACATATTTGATAGTCATTTATGTTTAATCCATATCTATCTATTTATACTACTATAAAATATCAACAAAAATAAAAAACTTTTGATTGACTATAATACTTTTCATAAAACATAAAATTTCTTTAAACAATTTTCTTTCATCTTCTCCAATTAATTACATACTCCTCTCCTATTCTTTCATCTTCTTAAATTAATAATGTGCATAAACTTAATATTTTCATGTATTCATTTCAACTTTAATTATTGATTTAAACTCTAATGATGTTCATGCCATTACGAGTAATAGCAAAACAATACTATCACCTTTTCTGTTACCTTTTTGTTTCCCCATATAATTGACTCGACAACTTTTATTCTTCTAATTCTAACCACATGAATTTATTTGAGGTTTTAATGTTTATAGGCCAAAATTTGTGTGTTACTACAAGAAATCTTGAAAATTAAATTTTGACTTGACGTTTGGGTTTTATGGTCATGAAAAAAATCAAGAGTGGATGGTAACTACAAAAAAACTTTGAAAACTTTCTATCTTTTCTACTAGGTTTCAAGGATTGTTGAAAAAAAATTTCTTACTTGATGTTTTTGTTTAACATGAAAGTGCCCCATCTGTATCGCTAAGATCGATTCTTAGGTAATCACCTTTGCCACTATTTATATGTGTGGGGGCTTGCGATTCTCCCAAAAAATAAAAAGTGCTTGTGGGTTTGCCTTTGTATATTGATAGTCTTTATCATAATTTTTTGTGCTCAAGCATAATGCTCTAAGAACTTGTTTAGTTTTTTGGCTATTTGATTGAATGTTAGTAGGACAATTACTTTTTACTTCAACTCAACCTTATTTTTTTTCCACTCTTTTGTATCTTGGAAAAAATATTTCAAGAAAAAGCAACAAAAACATTGAAAAACAAGTAGAAGTAAGATTATGTGATCCTCTTTTCAAGTTAGCATGTCTTGTATTTGACATACCTGCGTGTTAGATAGTCTATCTCTTCATTTGGTGTACATTTACAATGTCAAATATAATTAGATTTTACAAAAAGAATGATCAATAGACATTATTTTATTGAGTGTAATCCCACTATTTTTGCTTAATGTAGGTCAAATTAATGTGTTAGAAATAATCACAATAATTTATCTGATACTTTTAGTGGATTTTTGTGTCAGAGGTTTTGTGTCATGAACTTTATGTTAAACACTGAAAAAACTGACAGTTATTGGTTTATGTACCTTTGAAAAATATTATTTACTTTAAGTCAATCAACTATATATATTTATTGGCATAAAAAATGGGTATACCGGTTGGTTTGAGCTAAAGTTGTGCATATTTATTGACATAAAAAGTGGGTGCACCAGCAGCAATGGAAAATGAAAGGTTTTCTTTTGGTACATTATTCAAGTTTAATATACTGGGGACTTATATATTCAATGTGCATTGAATATACCATATGCTAAAACTTGAAAATAGACATTTCATCTTTCCATATTCAAGCTATACACAACCAAATACATTTAAACCCTATAGGTACTCATATTAAGTATTCAACCAGCAAATATTAGTTGGAACTTCAATCGTTTCATATTCTCACCTCTTTGTTTGATTGATTCTCTTTTAAAAATCTTTATGGTCTAATATTTGGTAAACTTCTGCCCTCTCTCTCTCTTCTCTCACCGTGTGCTGAAATGAAAAGGCTGCCTTAATAGGTACTAATTTTCTTTTCCTTGATCTTTTTTTTCTTCAAGGACCTGGTTACCTTTTGTTCTACTTGTTATATTTTCAGATTGTTTATATTTATTTAATTGGGTGACATCCTGTTTTCCTACGTGCTCCACTTGTCTCATGTTTTATATCTTGTCTTTGCTTATAATTTATGTTTTATTTAATCACTGAAGAATGCTAATATTTTGGGTTATAAGACTGTTTTATAATATGTGACATAATGGAGAAAGATGTTAACAAAGACAAGAAATCGAATGTCATTTGTCCACAGTGTGCTTCTAATCAATTTCATCTAGCATGAGTAGTTATATGCATTTGGATTTATGTTTCTTCTTATCTGTATAGGTCATATCAATTCTTTGACACAAAAAAACTTCCAACTAAATTAGAACTTCCACCCAATTAGGGTGATCTAATTAACCATACTTTTTTACTTTGATTTTTTAATCATAGGATATATGATTCAAAAGTTTTTGAAATTTCGAAACTTTAACATTTATACTAACGCAATTTTATAATGAATTTGAGTTAGATATCAAGGGACAAGAAAATTCTATGTTGTTGTTATTGGTCTAAATAAATTTATGTTACACCTTTCTTAGCCCGAAAATTCTACCATGAGGCGAGAGAAAAACGATGACAAAATTTTTTAAACTCAAGTAGTTTAATTGTTGGTTAGTTGTTGTATAGTGTTTATTTATGAATACAAACCTTGTGTTTATTATATTAGCTTGTAAATCACAATTGGAAATAGTAGTTGTGCACCGATTATACTTGTCATTACATTTACAAAATCTTAATTTTCTTATAACAACTTTGTTGAGAATTTTTTAGCTTGTTATTTTTCTACAATTTGGTCTCAATGTGGAGAGATGCATTCAAACCATTGATTATGAATATTGTTTTACCCTTCTTGTATTGATTTGTTGATATTGAACAAAAGGAAGCCAAGAGACCTAGACGTAGATATTAGATACTCAACTCCCACATTCTTATCTTACTTCGATAGAGTCAAATATTAATATATCCATAACAAAATTGTTCTATCAACTTATATGCAAAATTTTTAGGATAACCATTGTTTGGTGTTTAATTTAGATGACAAAAATCTACTTATGGTTGTTGTATGTTTAGATAGCATTAACATTTATAAGTGATGATGGTTTTTGTTTGATAAATGAAAATTTGAATTATGAGACAATATTAATCTATTAATTTAATTTAACCGTCTAGCAACTATAAACATATGAGATAGAATAAGTTACAATAAATCTAAATGATTTAGGCAATCTCTCTAATCTTAAAATATATAGTGAATAGTGCACATTTTATTTGTCTTGTGAATAATAACTTGCTATGAAATGAAACACGTCATTGGGTACTGTTCTCCATGTGAACAGTTCAAGGTTCTAACAATAAAGATTAGTTTTGTTTACAACAAATTATGATTAAAAAAATGTGTCTATATGTTTTGGTCATGTACTCTAAGTTGGTTTATGGAGAAACAGTAAATTGTCTAAAATTGTTATTTTTAGATTAATATTTAGTAATGTAAAATGCTAGATTAATACCGGAACAAGATTTGAAAATACTATCTTAATCATGACAAAAGAGATAAAAAAATTTCCTGTAAAACTTTTGATGAATACCTACAAGAATACAGAGAAAAAATTGAGGGTTTATATGATTAAATAACACTTTCATATTTAAAACAATTCACGTGCAACGCACGTATGTACCAATTAGTTTCTTAAAATGTAAAGATGCGGTACATGGACAAAGCTATAGGATAATGCAACAAGTTCGAATATTGACGGTTAACTAACTGATAGAATATTATACAAACCGTCGCATACAGTGTAATTTCATAAATAAGAAGGAACATTCGGGTAATTATTAGAAACCCCGGGTTTCATTGTAAACATTGCACTATAACTAATCTACATAATACTTAAAAGGATTAATCTACACTTTGTACCCTACAAGATTCTTAAATTCTCAACTTACACTCAATAAAATTAAAATTCTCACATTGTAACCTTAATCAAATAAAAAATGTCGCAATGTAGTCCAAAACTAACTTTTCCTTAACTTTTTGACAATTTGTTTTTGTGTATTTTCGGTGTTATCCTATTTTTATGCACTACTGTTTGTCTAGTACTTAATTTTAAGTGTTTTTAATGAAAAATTCAGAGCACATTACTACATTTTTGTTTGAATGAGTGTAATATGAAAATTTCAATCTTTCATTGTGTAAATTGAGAATATAAAGATCTTTTGGTGTACAAAGTTAATTTGTCACTGCTTAAAATAATTGATCTGCAAGCCCGTGATAGAAACTCCTGGACGGTGATTTAACCTCTCTCAATCCGACGGCCAGAATCGATGGCAAATAAAACAGGGAAGCTTTTCAGAAACCTTGAAATGGGTTCAATTTACATAATTGGAATATATTCTGACGTTGACATAATTGGAATATTCACATATTACATATGCCGACACTGGTATCTTGAATACCGTGTATAATCAAACACCTAGATAAATGGCAGAATTTAATATTGAAATGGATTGTTACACTTGCTCCTATGTTAATTTGATATGGTATGATGTGCCTTTCTTTGTCTCGTCTTTGTCAAGATTTTGCTAGCTGGTTCGGCAGCCAATAATCCCAGGATAGAGAATATTTTTAAATTTTTTTTCTTTCCATTCAAATCACAAACACACCATTCCAAATTTGCAGATAATATGACGCTTTTTTATAGTCCTCTTTTTTTTTTTTTAACATGAATTTTTTTTAGTCCTTAGATCTGTTCATATACCCCATTGATTTATTTTCAAAAAAAAAAAAAAATAGGTTAATTGGAAAAATATAAATCTATATTTCTTCAATATAATTGTTTAAGGAATAAATTAATCAATACAGTTTGGTCTGTACCCAAGGGCCAGTTATAATCCTTGGACATGAAGATCATACAAGTAAATCCTCATATAATATACTCTAAACCCTTCAATAATATACTCTAAATACATGAATTAGTATATTTCTGGTATCTATAGCTGGTTTAAGCAGCATGGCTTTCTTACTCCAAGTCTTATGCTTGATCAAAATTTCACTTTAATTTGATGCATCCCAGATGATACCTACAATACTGATGGCACTCTTGATTCACCTATTGATTGGATTCCTGGCATGAGAGACATAAGATTCAGAGATCTTCCAAGTTTCTTCAGAACCACCGACCCAAATGACATCATGTTTGACTTCATGGGAGAGGAAGCACATAACTGTTTAAATGCTTCTGCTATAATTTTTAACACTTTTGATGCATTAGAACGTGAGGTGTTAGAGGGATTCATATCCAAGTTTAATTATCCCAACATTTATACAATAGGGCCACTTTCACTACTGGGTAGGCATGTGCTAGAGAGCCAAGTCATGTCACTTAATTCAAGTTTATGGAAGCCAGACTCAGATTGTTTGAAATGGTTGGATCAAAGAGAGAGGGACTCAGTAGTGTATGTGAATTATGGAAGTGTGACAACCATGACTAACCAACACTTCAAGGAATTTGCATGGGGGCTTGCAAAGAGCAAGCAACCATTTCTATGGATTGTTCGGCCAGATATCGTGCAGGGTAATTCGGCCATGTTGCCTAAAGCATTTCTCGAGGAGACAAAGGATAGAGGATTATTAACCAGTTGGTGTGCACAAGGTGAAGTTCTAGCCCATCCGGCTATTGGTGCCTTTCTGACTCATTGTGGATGGAACTCTACGATAGAGAGCATATGTGGTGGCGTTCCTGTGATCTGTTGGCCTTTCTTTGCTGATCAGCAAACGAATTGTCGATACTTGTGCGTCGAATGGGAGATTGGAATGGAGATCAATAATGATGTGAAGAGAGAGGAAGTTGAAGAACTTGTCAGAGAGATGATGAAAGGGGAGAAAGGGAAGAAGATGAGGAGCAAAGCTAAGGAATGGAAGAACAAAGCAGAAGAAGGTACTTATGTTGGGGGATCATCCTATGATAACTTTGATAAATTCATCATGAAGAGAAGTAACAAACCATGGAAGATACTATTTCTACTACTTATATATTACAAGTAGGATGCATGGTATGCAAGATAATGGTTGAATTTAGTCATCAATAATACTACTTTGGCTTAATCATTGTCTCAATTCACTATCATTATTGGATTGACAATGGATATCAATTGGTATTTGGATGCACTGGTAATTCAATGATAATAGTGGATCAAATCGACAAATTACATCAATAAACCAAATCTTAATATCCTTACTCAGTTATGGAAGGGTTTGATTGTGTCTATTGTGTATTGCATTTTGTATTAACTAATCAATGTGTTTTTGTGTTGCATTTGTGATCTAATTTGGTGATTTATTCTATATGATCTAATTTGGAGGGTACTAACCCTATATGATCTTCTTAATTAGATAATTCATAGCATTTAAATTGAGTCTCAACTTAAATTGAATCAAGAAAATCTTAGGGCCCCATTTTTGCATAATAGAAACCTTGATTGACATTGGTATATCATTGGGTTACTATATTTGAATAATCTAAAAATTAGTAATCTAAATTGAGAATATAATTACCATTGCAATCAAATTCTAATGGATATCTTAAATGTAGTGTCAATTGTTGTCATCTCATACCCAGTTGGATGGGTACCTAAAAATGGTATAGAACTCAAAATGTAGCTCCTTCCAAAAATCAGGGTCTATTCATTCCAAACTGTCCACGGGCAATTTTCATATAAAATGAGAAATGCACAACATGCCACGGATCTTTGTTTGCGAGAGGACCATGAGATGAGATTCGGTCCAAGAAATATTACACAACCACCAATTTAGACTTTCAATAATCCAAACAGCTTGCCCAGTTCACATGAGATGAAGCGCAGAGGACAAAATTTGAAGAGCGGCGAATGGGAAGACAAATGTCTATGGTGTCTTTGAGATATCAGAGAATTCGTTTGACTGCAATACCATGAATATGTGGAGCTTGCATGTATTGACATACTTTGTTGATAGAAAGAAGTTGAGGCTACCTAAGTCTTTGATTGCAAACTCGTGCCCAAGGTGAAAAATATGATCATTAATAGAGGAGGTTGGGTTGTCAGGAATTACCGATTAACATTATTTGTTTACACCAACTACACATTAACATAGTATAGAAACTGATTGTGTATAAATATGTCACTATCAAAAAAGTATTGGGTATATAGATGTCTCCACCATTAAGAATTGAAGGGGGTGGCTCCCTTAGTGACACGTGCAATTACATTAAATGAACCCAAGCGAAAGTGACAAGACTAGTCACATGACAAAGAAGTCATCATCAAATTAAAGCCGAGCTGCTCAAAGAGCTTGAGAATAAAGGGCAAAGGTCGGTCATCATCATGACCGAGCTGTTTCAAATAGTAAACGAAGAGCTAAAGAGATGCCTATAACTCAGGCATTCCGATTAAACAAATGTGCACAAGTATAGACTCGATAGGAGGAATTGCTAGAGAGATCTTAGCAACTTCCCAAATAGAGTCGCCTAATTGGAGGAAGGTGTACCACCTTGAATCAAGAATAATGAAAATCCTAACTAAACAGGGAACTATAAAAGGCACAAAAAGCCAAGGTGAAAGGTACGCTGCACTCTCCTTATCTTCTTGCAATTCATTCAGTCTCATTAGTGACTTAAGCATCAGAGTGTCTTCCATCGAAACACTTCGATCCTGGGTAGTTCGTTCATTTTACAGGAAAAGGTAAACTGGAAAATCAAGTTCAAAAGCACGCCCTAGTCAGAAACATCAATCCTTCATACTTGTGAGAGGTTTGTCAGTTTTTACCGCTTACATTTGTGGCGCCCTCTGTGAGAAGATTCTCATCAATCAAAACGAAAAAGCGAATGTCAAGATTGAGAAGTGTCATCAGATCACCTGTAGGCAATTTTGCCTTGGGGGATTCCGATCTAGATTACAGGGTGTCGCTTCCATCCGATAGCGACGTTAGGATTCATATGGATAAAAGCCCATCTAAACCCTGTGAGGATGACGGGTTGTCCTCAACAAATTTCAGACCGTCTAGACAACAAAATCAGCAAGACGCTGACCGTGGTGAATTCCTCCATACCGAGGGGGAGAACCACTCACTGGCAAAGTTGGTTCACTACCTGCAGGATCGGCTTGGCGCGCATGATAAATTGTTTAAGAAGTACTATGCTAGGGAAAAAGATCTAACAAAAGAAAATGAAAAGTTAAAAGCTAGATTGAAGGAAATGACTAAGAGAGAGAAATGTAACAAGGACAACCAACAGGAGAGTCTCGAGAAGAAGAGAGGTAGAAGAGAAAATGCCGAGGAAGATGAGTGCAAGCTAGAAAAAGGCATCAGGCGCAAGAAGAAGATTCCTGGAAGCAATTCATTACTAAAAAGCTCAACAACTGTCTGAAGAGACGAGAGTAAAAATTGGCTAGGGACCTAGCCAGGAGAGCAACTGGAGAATATAGAGACGATACAAAATCCTCACTTTTCACCATGTGTATCGAAATGGGACAAATCCCGAGTAAATTCACCGTCCCAAATTTTAAGTTATATGATGGAAAGACTAATCCAGCCTCCCACATCAGACATTACATGTAACTTATGACCATTTATCGGAGGAATGAGCCACTGCTCTGTACCATCTTCCCCAGCAGCCTAGGGTAGTCAGTCATGAAGTGGTTCGATAGTTTACCTAAGGGTTCAGTTGACAGATGGGATCAACTCGCTGAGCAATTCATAGCTCAATTCATAACAAGCAGCAAACAACCCAAAGATGTCGGGGCTCTGCTGACATTGAAGAAAAGGGGTAATGAAACTTTGAGAGAGTACGCTCATCGTTATTGGAAAACGATGAATGAGGTTGAAACTTGTAACCCTGAAATTGTTGTGGCATCCTTCAAAATTGGATTGCTGAAAGAAACCCCTTTATATCAATCTCTGACTAGAAGGTCTGCCATAGACACGAAGGAGCTAATGGAGAGGATCGAGAAGAACACAAAAGTCAATGATGATTTATCTAGAGACATGGGGAAGGAGCATCCTGGTAGAAAGCAGTTTAGCCATGACAAACAGACTGAGCCCAACAGAGAAGTTAGAAGGAAGAAAGAAAAGGAAGGGTTTCCCCCGAAATCTCCCTTCATTGGAGTAAATACAGTATTTAAAGAGCCAATATACAAAATATTGACTCATATTAAGGGGAAGCCATATTTTAAGTGGCCCATCAAGTTAATGGGAGATCCTTCAAAGAGGAATCCCAATTTTAGGTGCTCCTACCATTGGGATGTAGGCCATATGATCGAGAATTGCCGATCTTTGAAGCAACATTTGGAAGAGCTAGTCTAGGCAGGGCATCTTGCCCATTTCATTAAGGATGGTGCTAGAACTAGTGGGGGGAGAACCGAACCCCAAGGGGACCAGACCACGGTAGCAGGTGTGATAGATGTAATCTTTGCCGCAACGAACATGCAAATGGCGGCAACTAACACTGGTAGGGCATACATTCAGAGAGCCGCGAAAGAGAAGAAAGTGTATGAGTTGCGATTATCCCCCGAAGTCAGGAACAATAGAATAAAGTTTGAGAACGATGCCGAGACGATATGTTTCTCCAAGTAGAATCTGGTTGGGATACACCAACCACACAATGACGCATTGGTGGTAACGCTCAAAATTGCTAACTATGATGTGAAGAGAATATTGGTCGACCCGGGAAGCTCCTCTGAGATCATGTATATGGACCTCTTCCTGAAGCTTGGGTTAAAGCAACAAGATCTTAAGCCAACCAATACCCCACTAGTCAGCTTTAGTGGAAAAACAGTTCTTCCTAGAGGCAGGATCACTCTACCAGTAAAGACTGGACCTGTTAGGGTCATGATCGAGTTTTTGGTGACAGACACGACCTTGGCATACAATGTCATTATGGGTCGGACCTAGTTGCATGAGATGTAGGCAGTACCATCAACATACCACCAGGTGCTCAAGTTTTCGTCGGTAGAAGGAATAGTTAACTTTCAAGGAGACCAAGTAAGTTCCAGAACTTGCTTATTGGCCTTGGTTAAAGGAAGGGGCGGTGTAGAAAGTAGAGAGAAAATTTTGGCAGTCAAAATGGCGAAATAGCAACCAAACCTCAATAGGTTGGTTGATTCAATCGACCGAGCTATCGAGGCGGAACCTAAAGTACCTTTAGGCACTGAGCACAAACTAATCGACCGAATAGTAGAAGACTTGTCTAAAGTACCTTTAGACAAGGATGATGACAAGCACTTTCTTCTAGGCGCCTCATTGAGCCCCGAGCAGAGAAATGAACTTGTCGCACTACTAAGAGAATATGCCAACGTATTTGCATGGTCAATGTACGAAATGCCTAGTGTACCACCCAAGGTGGCTTGCCATCAATTAAACGTGGGTTCTAGCTTCAAGCCGATCAAACAAAAACTTAGGAGGTCGGCACCACAGCATCAAAAGGCAGTAAAGGAGGAGGTGGCACGATTGTTGGAGTCCCAAACCATCAGAGAGGTTCAATACCCGACTTAGTTGTCAAACACTGTAGTGGTCAAGAAGAAAAATGGGAAGTGGAGAGTTTGTGTTGACTTCACCGACCTCAACAAAGCATGTCCAAAAGACAGGTTTCCTTTGTCGAAGATAGATCAGTTAGTCGACGCAACCGTCGATTATGAATGAATGAGCTTCTTGGACGCCTATAGGGGATATCATCAGATCCCACTTGTCGAACAGGACCAAGAAAAGACTGTCTTTATAACACCTAAGGGGACATACTATTACAAGGTAATTCCCTTTAGGTTAAAAATGCTGGAGCAACCTATCAAAGGTTAGTGACAAAAATGTTTTCCCACTTGCTAGGTAACACCATGGAAGTCTACATAGATGACTTGGTTGTTAAAATTCGAAGGGCCACCAATCATTGCTCTGACTTGAGGAGAACGTTCGACATACTTCGGAGATATAAAATAAAGTTGAATGCCTCAAAGCGTGTGTTTGGTGTAGACTCTGAAAATTTCCTTGGGTTTTTGGTTACCCACCGAGGAGTGGAGGTG